GGATGGAGGGGAGGATTGTGGAGGGGTGAGGTGTGGATGTTGATGGATGGATGGGTGGATGATGAATGGATGGATGAATGGATGGATGGGTGGATGATGGATAGATGGATGGATGATGAATGGATGGATGGGTGGATGATGGATGGATGATGGGTGGATGATGAATGGATTAATGGATGATGGGTGGATGATGAATGGATGATGGGTGGATGGATGGATGGGTGGATGAATGGACGGATGATGGATGGATGATGAATGGATGATGGGTGGATGATGAATGGATGATGGATGGATGGATGTATGATGGATGGATGATGAATTGATGGATGAATGGATGGATGGGTGGATGGTGGGTAGATGGATGGAGGATGAATGGATGGATGGGTGGGCGGTTNTACATCCAACCATAAATCCATCATCCAACCATCCATCCAACATCCATCCTAACCGTCTCGTTCTCTCCTCAGGTTGTGAAGTTTCTGACCTATCAGGAGCCTCACAGCTCCGCCTACCAGCAGTTTGTCTCCAACCTCAAGATGGACGCCAGGAACTGGTTTAACTACAGCATGGACGACTCTCTGGTACTGAGTAGATGGATGGATGGGTGGATGATGGATGGATAGATGGATGGATGGGTGGATGATGAATGGATGGATGGATGGATGGGTGGATGATGGATAGATGGATGGATGATGAATGGATGGATGGATGGATGGGTGGATGATGGATGGATAGATGGATGGATGGGTGGATGATGAATGGATGGATGAATGGATGGATGGGTGGATGATGGATAGATGGATGGATGATGAATGGATGGATGGGTGGATGATGGATGGATGATGGGTGGATGATGATGGATGGATGGGTGGGTGGATGATGAATGGATAATGGATGGATGGATGGATGATGAATGGATGATGGATGATGAATGGTGGATGGATGGGTGGATGATGGATGGATGGATGAGGGGATGATGGGTGGATGATGGATGGATGATGAATGGATGGATGGATGATGGGTGGATGATGAATGGATGATGGGTGGATGGATGGATGGGTGGATGAATGGACGGATGATGGATGGATGATGAATGGATGATGGGTGGATGATGGATGGATGAATGGGTGGATGAGTGGATGGACAAGGGGGCGATAAGTGGG